GTTGGGGGCTACGACCTCCAGTCGATCATTGAAAAAAAGCGGTGTGCGGTCTCCGACGTTGTTGCTAACCTCCGACCTTGTTGCTAGGGTAAAAAAACGGTGCTTGTGACCGGAAGTGACGTCATGGGGCCGGAAGTGATTTTGTCTCAAAAAAAAAGTGACTTGGATTTAACCGGAAGTGAGCCTATTTTTGTAAAACTAAGGATTTAAAAAAAAATAGTATTAGAAAATTATTATTTTTTTGAAAAAAATATTTTTTGGAGTCAGAAAAAAAGCCATTTTTTCTAGCAAATGTGTTTTATTCTAACCAAAAACGTCTTAAAATTAAAAAAAGACCACCTTCTTTTTGACCAGAAGGAGGAGAAGAAGAATCAATAATATAACAAAAAAAAAATAATAATATTACATCTGAAATACAAAGTCTTCTTCAGCGTTCAAGAATCTAAAAAAATTCTCCATTTTGAAAGATTCGTTGTTCATGATGTGTCCGTGGTCCCACATATAAAAAAAGTAATATTGCTCGAAGAGCTGAACCTCTTGTGTTGGGCAGTGACTTGTTCCTAAAAAAAGGCCACAACAGGAGTACTCTCTATCGGGCGTTATGTGCTCGACTTTTGGGCAAAAAAAATCTTCCAAGTTGAAGCTGGGTACTTCAATTCTGTTCAGCAACTCACTCTCATAAAAAAAGCCTTTGTAGCCAACAACGATGTTTTCAGAMATGAGATCGTCTTCTTCTCTTAAAAAAATTAATGATAGGAGAACTTTGAGTATGGCTTCAGGGTTGAGCTGTCCAAACCAAAAAAAATCGTAGGGGATGTCGAACAGGTTGTCTTCGACCCAGTCGATCGTACGCTGGTAAAAAAAGTTCAATCGCTTGTACGGCATCCTCGAGTTTAAAAAGTGGCATGTGAAAGGTAAAAAAATTCCCAGAGCTTTGATGGATAGTTCTTTAGGTATGAACTCTTTGTTCACCATAAAAAAATCAATGTCAATGATCGCTCCTATGTTGCGGTAGGCCATTTTCAAAAAATAGAAAAAAAATCTTTCTCCTCCTCCTCCTTCTAGTCTTCAAATGGTATAGGTCGTGAACAAAAAAAAAATCTGACGAAAATTCTGGTCGGTTATATAGGTTCTGGAGGTCAAACCGGTCAAAAAAAAATTGTTTTTTGGCGGGATAGGGAGGGGGTTACCCCCCTACCCCTCCCTCCTTTAAAAAAAGTTTCAGGGGATGCTGGGTAGTCAGAGACGTATAAATAGAGCGACGATCCATAAAAAAATCACTTCATTCTGGAGTTCAGAAGAGTTCAGAAGAGTTTCAGAAGAGTTCAGAAAAAAATCAGAAGACTTGTGTAAGTATCCCAAGCAAGAAGAAGAATGTCATCCGAAAGAAAAAAAGAGACTCATGA